CTACACACTCTTATTAACCTTTTTAGAGACAAAAACAGAAATTTCTCGAAAAACTTAGCAGGTTTAATAGTATCTGTGGAGTGAAATCAAACTTAATGTTTCAGGTCCAGTGACCCTTCTTCAGAACTGATGGTAGCTAGGATAAAGTTTTTTTTATGCAGAAGATAGGATGGCGGGAGGGGGTAAGGAGTTAATGATGGGGAGAGATAGAGCCCAAAGACTGGCAAAGGAGTGGATAGTAGTCAGCCTAAAAGAATAAATAGCTGCTAATGGTGACGATTAGTAGCTAACAATGGGTTGTGTGAAATAGCAGACCATGTGCTAACAAGGCCTGCTGTGTGGGGGTTGGGGTAAGGACTGGGAGAAGGTGCCTCAAGCCGTAAAAATCTTGAACTCAATGTTGAGTCCAGAAGGTTGTGGAGTTCCCAAGAGGAAAAAATGTCAGCCAGGGAACGAGGTGGTGCGTTGGAAGTGCCAGGCAACTGGAAGCTTTTCTGCAAACAGCATGTAGGTGTTCTGTGAAGCAGTCACCCAGTCTACACTTTGATTCCCTAATGTAGAGGAGACTATATTGTGAACAGCAAATGCAGTAGACTAGATTGAGTGAAATACCAGTAAAGTGCTGCTTCACCCAGAACGTGTGTTTAGGTCTTGGATGCTGAGGAGGGAGGAAGTAAATGGGCAGGTGTAATACCTTCTGCGTTTGCAGAGGAAGGTGCCATGAGACTGTGGGATGGTGTTCGGATTGAAGGAAGAGTGGATCAGGGTGTCCTTGCGGAAGCTGACAATACAGGGAAGAGGAAATGGTGGTGGCATCCTGCTGGAGGTGGCGGAAATAGCAGCAATGATCCTCTGGATGTGGATGCTGGTGGGATGATAGGTGAGGACAAGGAGGACCCTATTGCTGCTGTGGGAGGGAAGAGAGGGGGTGAGGGCTGAAGTGCAGGATATGGGTCAGAGCCGGTTGATGGCCTGGTCAACTACGGTGTTGGGAAATCCTCAGTTGAGGAAGAAGGTGGACATTTTGGATGCTCCCTTGTCACATTTGGCATCATCAGAACTGATGTGATGGAGATGGAAGAACTGGGAGAATGGAATAGAGCTCAAAGTCTGTTCTAAAATACCACACAACATCATTACTCTTTTATGGACACCCAAGATTTTCAGACCCCACATGCCATGCCATGGGAATTTCACGTACTACTCATAATATCTCCCAGTGGTAGCTGGGCGGTATCACTATCTGATGAACAACCATCTATTCTTTATCTGCTGGTCTGTGAGGTGGGTATCCACTTCCTCATCAGCACTCCATTCTTAAGTTAATAGCACTCAATAACTTCTTGGGCCTCTACGTCAGTTTTAAGTTGACTTTGCTAACTTATTTAATTCAGTATCTGCTTTCTGAGCCTCAATTAGTGATATTATACCAAATTTTCCCCCTCAATTATCTCAAACAATTTTCACCTCTCAGGCAAATTTCAGTGACCTTTTATTATACTGTCATGTCAACCTTTATTGATGAATTTTAGTTAACTATTATTCCAGTTACCACACAGTATGTAGAAAAAAATCTGGAACCTGTTCCTGTAATTGTTTGGTTTCTTGAACATCCTTTGAGTATTCTGTAATTATGATCTTTAGTCCTGCAAAATCGTTACCCAGAAGTAAATCTTCTCCCTCGATAGGTAATGTCTTCACTACTCTGACAATTATTTCTCTTGATAATAAGTCACATTCCAATGTACTCTACTTAATGGAACTGGAATATATTCTCCACCAGTCCCATTTACTAGTACCTTAGCTCCCATTGAACTTGCTGGAGGGAAAACCAAGTCTTGCTGCAGTAAAAGCAACTGTGTTGCCCCTGTATCTCTTTCTATGTTTAGCTTGGATTTGGGTTTAGCTACCTCACCTGAAGAAAACAGAGTAACCTTGCCCCTCGATAAAAACTGTGTATACCTCTCATCTACCTTGCATATTTCTTTTTTAACGAAGAATTCACCTCTTTGTTGTAGTTAGAGGTACAATCTGGTCCATGGTGTTGTCTTTTTGAGTTCCCTTCAACTTATTTATTATGAATTTCTATCACAACTTCCAACATTCCTAACAAACATGTACTAACTTATTACAATAGAAACATTTATGCTTCTGAACTTCACTTCCACCCTCAACGCTTTCCTTCCTGATTGGAGGACATTCTTCAGACATTCCCTATTGTGTATTCTCTAGCCTGGCTACCTGTCTTCCTTTCACTCTTCCACATTTTACTTTTCTCAAATTTCTGGTGACAAAACAAAGTTTTATGGATTAGTTCATAATCGCTAGCCATTATAGCTGCTTGTTTTGCCATTGCTACCCTTTGGTCTTCTACACAAGTTCTTATTACATAAGATAGGGAAGTTTTAAATTCTTCTAAGAATAACTTCCCTGAGAGCATCATAAGTATTTTCAGCCTTTAATGCAGTTACGCACCTGTTAAAATTGTTTTGTTTAACTCCCTCAAACTCAACAGAAGTTTGTTCAGGCCGTTTCCTTTAGTTCCAAAACCTCTGCCTGTATGTTTCTGGGACCAATTCATATGCATTTAACTTAAAATAGCCCTTTCTACTTCTTCATAATCTCTAGCGCCTTTCTCCGACAAGATGGCATAAATTTCGAGCTCTACCAGGTAATTTACTTTGTATGGGCAATATCCAATCTGCATTTGGCCACCCCATCTGGGTCTCTACTTTTTCAAATGACATGAAATGCTTCCATGTCCTTCTTTTCAAATACTGGCTAGGCCTTCACAATCTTAAAACATCTCCTGACTAAATTGCAGACTATGACTAGGTCTTTCCTCTTCAAAGCGCTCCCAAACTTCTGGTTTAGCCTGCTAAACTGTATCATTTGTAATTTAAATTCTCTTTTTCCTCCCTTTCCAGTTATTTTAATTTTTTTTTGGGAATTCTTTCTCTCTTTCTGTCATTTGGAAGTTCACCTCCAATTTATTCATTTCTAATGGCCTTTCCTTCAACTTAAGGTTCACTGATTCATCCATTGTACTACCTGGACTACTTGATCTCTCTGGTATTTTCATTAAACCAAGTTGATATTAAATCTATTACATCTGCCTTCTCAGCTCACCCTGGCTCTGTTACCTTAGCTCTAATCATGACCCACAACAGTACGAGGGAAACCTCTGACACTTACAAAAAATCTTTAATAAGTTCTAGTGCCATCTTAAGTCTGTACACAAACTTAGTGTCACAGGCACCAAGGCGTAGCAAAATCCAATACCAGACTTGCATTGTCCATGTTCCCAAATCCTGGTGTTGAGCTGCCAATTATATCATCATACAGGTATAGTAAGCCAAACCAAATCAGCTTCACTATCAACATTAACTAAGTAATGTATAGTAAACAACTAATAAAAAGTATAAATTATATCACAATCTGGATTACAATAAGGCAAAGTCTGGACTGCAGGATTTATGAAAAGACAGACTGCATTGACTGAACACTTCTGCAGTTACGTGTCTGTTTAGAATCTCTTCAGCTGAGTCTTTGAATCAGACACAATGACAAATGAGAGAGGAACTCCCTTCCTAACAATTTTGTAGTTGCACCTTTGCTGCATTGACTGCAATGATTCAACAATGTGTCGCACCACCCCTTCAAGGGCAATTAGGGATGGACAGTATATGTGGGAGTAGTCAGCAACATCCACATCGCATGCAAGAACACAAAAATCTGGCAAATTTGCTCCAGACCTCAGTCATCTCACAGAGATGTAGTATCAGAATGGGGCTTGATGTGACTGATGGCATAGTGAAAATCTAGGAGATAGAGCTCAAGAGTCCATAGGAAGTCATCCTATGTAACAGGTACAATGTACAGATAGCCATGAGGATCAGCATGAATGCAACCCAAGTCACCTTGCAGCAGGACACTATCCAAAGCAAGGAGGAGTAGAAGAAGTCCAAATGATAGTTGTAAGGATTCAGTAACTAGGGGGACAAATAGAATCTTTTTTCTAGATTCATTCGTGCAACATATATATTGCTGACAGGCCAGCATTCTATTGCCCATCTCTGGTTTCCCTTGAGAAGGTGATAGTGAGCTGCCTTCTTGAACTTCTGCAGTCTGCATGCTGTAGGTTGATCCAAACTGCCCTTAGAGAGGAATTCCATGATTTTGACCCAGCAATGTGAAAGAATGGTGATATATTTCCAAGTCAGGATGATGAGTAACTTGGAGGCAAACATGCAGGTGGTGGTGTTCCTCTGCCCCTGTCCTTCTAGATGGAAGTGGTCATGGATTTGGAAGGTGCTGTCTAAGGATCTATGGTAAATTTCTGCATTGCATCAAGTAGATAGTACACAATGCTGCTACTGAGCATCAATGGTGGAGGGAATGGATGCTTGTGGATGTGGTGCTAACCAAATGGGCTGCTTTGTCCTGGATGATGTCAAGCTTCTTGAGTGCTGTTGGAGCTGCACTCAGCCAGGCATTCCATCACACTCCTGACTTGTGCCTTGTAGATGGTGGATAGGCTTTGGGGAGTCAGTAGGTGAATTACTTGCTGCAGTATTCCTAGCTTCTGACCTGCTCTTGTAGCCACTGTGTTCATGTGATAGGTCCAGTTGAGTTTCTGGTCAATGGTAACTCCAAGAATGTTGATTGTGGGGAATTTCAGTGATGGTAACATCATTGAATATCAAGGGGCAGTGATCAGATTGTCTCTTATTGGAGACAGTCATTGCCTGCCATCTGTGTAACGCGAATGTTACTTGCCACTTGTCCACCCAAGCCTGGACATTTTCCAGATCTTGTCGCATTTGAATATGGATTGCTTCAGTATATGAGGAGTCACAAGTGGTGCTGAACATTGTGCAATCATTAGCGAACATCCCCTCTTCTGACCTACTGATGGAGGAAAGGTGATTGTTGAAGCAGCTAAAGGTGGTTGGGCCTAGGTCACTACCTTGAGGAACTCTTGCAGAGATATTCTGAAGCTGAATTGACTGACTTCCAAAATCATCTTCCTATGTACCAGGTACGACTCCAATCAACGGAGAGTTTGCCCTGGTACCCACTGATTCCAGTTTTTCCTCAGACACCTCGATGCTACACTTGGTCCAATGTGGCTTTGATCTCAAGAGCTGTCACTCTCACTTAATCTCTGGAATTCAGCTCTATTGTCCACATTTGAATCAAGGCTGTAATGAGGTCAGGAGCTGAGTGGCCCTAGTGGAACCCAAACTGGGCATCAACAAGCGGGTGCCGCCTGATAGCGCTGTTGATGACACCTTCATCACTTTATTGATGATCGAGAGTAGACTGATGGGACAGTAACTGGCTGGGTTGGATTTGTCCTGCTTTGTGTGCTCAGGTCATGCCTGGCCAATTTTTCCACATTGTCAGTTAGATGCCAATGTTGCAACTATATTGGAACAGCTGGACTATGGAAGCAGCAGGTTCTAGAGCCCAAGTCTTCAGTACTATTGCCAAACTGTTTCAGGGCCCATAGCTTTTGTAGTATCCAGTGCCATGAACCATTTCTTGGTATCATGCAGGTGAATCAAATTGGCTAAAGACTGGTATCTGTAATGCTGGTGACCACTAAGGAGGTTTAGATGGATCATCCCTTTTGCACTACCAGCTGAAGATTGCTGCGAAAGCTTCAGCCTTAACTTTTGCACTTATGTGTTGGGCTCTTCCATTATTGAGGATGGGAATATTTGTGGAGCTTCTTCCTCCAGTGATTTGTTTAATTGTCCACCACCATTCAGGACTACAGAGTTTAGATGTGAGTCATTGATTGTGGGATCACTTAGTTTTGTCTATTACTTGTTGCTTACACTGTTTGGCATACAAGTGGTCCTATTTGGTAGCTTCACAAGGTTGACATCTCATTTTCAGGTACGCCTGGTGCTACTCCTGGCATGCCCTCCTGCACTCTCCATTGAACCAGGGCTGATCTCTTGGCCTGATTGTAATAGTTGAGTGGGGATATGCCAGGCCATGAGGTTTCAGATTGTGGAGTACATTTGTCCTGCTGTTGATGGTTCACAGCACCTCATGGATGCCCAATCTTGAGTAGCTCGGTAATTGGTATCAATAGTCCCATTTGGCATGTTATGTAACTGGTACCAGGTGTGGTGAATCTCAAACCAATCTGAAAGAATATTAGAGAAAGACAGAAAAGATCCAGTTTGTTGTGATCCTTGTTTGGATTAACAACGTACAGAACAGAATGCAAGCGGCTCTGTTTAGAGAGTATCAGTTTTTTTTTATTCATTCACGGGATGAGGGGTCACTGGCTAGGCCAGCATTTATTACCCATCCCAGAGGGCAGTTAAGTGTTAACCACATTGCAGTAGTTCTGGAATCACATACAGGCCAGACCAGGTAAGGATAGCAGTTTCCTGTCCTAAAGGACATTAGGGAACCAGATGGGTTTTTTCAACAATCAACAATGGATTCATGGTCATCATTGGACTCAATTCCAGATTTTTAAAAACTGAATTCAAATTCCAAATGGTGGGATTTGAAACCAGGTCCCCAGAACATTACCTGGGTCTCTGGAATAACAGTCTAGTGATAATACCACTAGGCCATAGGAGTGAAATTAAGGAACGGGGTCTCAAGACTAATAACCAGAGATTATGGTATCCCTGGATTCTTATCCAAACCATATGCAAATTGTCACAGGTACATTCAGATTGGAGATATAAACATTGAGTGGAAGTGATGTCGGAAAAAGAGATTCCAGGAGTTTATGGGGCACCAGCACGAAGTATTAGAACAAGGATGAACTGGACTGAAAGAAGGACTACACTGGAACTCAGAATTCCAGTGGAAGGTTAATTAGGGTGGTAAATGGTGGTACAATTATCAGGTGCTGCAAATAATTGCACAAAATCAAGAGAACACAGAATAGAAGAGTCCAAAATTGTGCTTTTGTCACTATGAGTAAAGACAAAACTAAATGATGCAAAGTAATTAAATGAAGACAGAATTAAAACAGTGTGAGTAAAACATTAGAGAAAAAGCACACGTTCAGGTGTGTGGTCTAAATAATTGTTCTTTGGATAAACAGAGTAAAAGGACAGAATTTGAATAATGAGTAACAGGCACAAATTCATCTTGGGAGGATATGATGTGGCAGCCATTACTAAGACAAGGTACAAGACAATCAAGTCTAGGAAGTAAATACATCTGGTTATAATGTCTACAGAAAAGATGAGGGGGAACGGTGATTTTGGGTGGGGAGTACTGCCTTGCTGATGAAAGTTAAATTCAATTCATTAATAAAAGAAGATCAATGGGAAACTTTACGGGTTCATGGCAGCAAGGTAATACATTTTTGAGCATGCTCAGGACAGTTTACTGCAACAGTGTAGTCAAGAATTAGCGAGAGAGCATCTAATGTTGAATTTATTAATGAATAATGAGCCATATTTATATATTTAACAGCCATATGTGAACAGTTACCCAACAGCATTTTATGATCAAGTTAAATGCATTTTTTTTGGAAGGGGAAATGTGAAATGCTAAAGTTCTAGATTTAGGCAAAGCTAACTTTCAAAACAGCAGCAGCTATGGATAACTAAATAAGAGACAACGGCAAACTGAACAGAAAATATAACGATGCAAAGAAATCTCATATGCTGACGAATGGGAGAGTTGCAAAGTATGGTTAAGAATACATGAGGGCATCCAGCAAATTTGGCCAAAACCTCACAAATAGCCCAAAAGAAATCAAAGATGGAGGTAAAAAAAATTCACCTTATACATGACAACAAGGTGCAGGGCTGGATGAACACAGCAGGCCAAGCAGCATCATAGGAGCAGAAAGGCTGACGTTTCGGGCCTAGACCCTTCATCAGAAAAGGGGGAGGGGAAGGGGGTTCTAAAATAAATAGGGAGAGAGTGGGAGTCGGATAGAAGATGGATAGAAGAGAGGATAGGTGGAGAGGAAACAAACAGGTCGAAGAGGCAGGGATGGGGCCAGTAAAGGTGAGTGTAGTGGGGAGTTAGGGAGGGGATAGGTCAATCCAGGGAGGACGGACAAACCCGTGCAGGGAGGCGCAGTTGTAGTGTGTCGCACTGACCTCTACATCGCCGAGGCCAGACGCCAACTCTCCGACACCTCCTCCTACCGCCCCCTTGATCATGACCCCACCCCTGAGCACCAAACCATCATCTCCCAAACCATCCACAACCTCATCACCTCAGGTGACCTCCCACCCACAGCCTCCAACCTCATCGTTCCCCATCCTCGCACTGCCCGCTTCTATCTCCTTCCCAAAATCCACAAACCTGAATGCCCTGGTCGACCCATTGTCTCCGCCTGCTCCTGCCCCACCGAACTGATCTCCAACTATCTGGACTCCATTTTCTCCCCCTTGGTCCAGGAACTCCCTACCTATGTCCGTGACACCACCCACACCCTCCATCTCCTCCAGAACTTCCAATTCCCCGGTCCCCAACACCTCATCTTTACCATGGGCGTCCAGTCCCTCTACACCTGCATTCCCCATGCAGATGGCCTAAAGGCCCTCCGCTTCTTCCTGTTCCGCAGGCCCGACCAGTCCCCCTCCACTGACACCCTCAACCACTTAGCCAAACTCGTCCTCACCCTCAACAACTTCTCTTTCAATTCCTCCCACTTCCTACAGACAAAGGGGGTGGCCATGGGTACCTGCATGGGCCCAAGTTACGCCTGCCTCTTTGTAGGTTACGTGGAACAATCCCTCTTCCGTACCTACATCGGCCCTAAACCTCACCTCTTCCTCCGTTACATTGATGACTGTATCGGCGCCGCCTCGTGCTCCCACGAGGAGCTCAAACAGTTCATCCACTTCACTAACACCTTCCACCCCAACCTTAAGTTTACCTGGACCATCTCTAACACCTCTCTCCCCTTCCTGGACCTCTCTGTCTCCATATCGGGCAACCACCTAGAAACCGATATTCATTTCAAGCCCACCGACTCCCACAGCTACCTAGAATACTCCTCCTCCCACCCACCTTCCTGCAAAAATGCTATCCCCTATTCCCAATTCCTTCACCTCCGCCACATCTGCTCCCAGGATGAGGCATTCCACTCCCGTACATCTCAGTTGTCCTCGTTTTTCCACGCAATAAGAACCCCCCTCATCCTCACGTACCACCCCACCAACCTCCGGATCCAACGCATCATCGTCCGACACGTCCGCCGTCTGCAATCCGACCCCACCACCAAAGACATCTTTCCCTCCCCACCCTTATCTGCTTTCCGGAGGGACCACTCTCTCCATGACTCCCTTGTCCACTCCACGCTCCCCTCCAGCTCCACCACACCCGGCACTTTTCCCTGCAATCGCAGGAAGTGCTACACCTGCCCCCATACCTCCTCCCTCACCCCCATCCCAGGCCACAAGAAGACTTTCCACATCAAGCAGATGTTCACCTGCACATCTGCCAATGTGGTATACTGCATCCGCTGTGGCTTCCTCTACATCGGGGAAACCAAGCGGAGGCTCGGGGACCGCTTTGCAGAACACCTACGCTCGGTTCGCAATAAACAACTGCACCTCCCAGTCGCGAACCATTTCAACTCCCCCCTCCCATTCCTCAGACGACATGTCCATCCTGGGCCTCCTGCAGTGCCACAACGATGCCACCCGAAGGTTGCAGGAACAGCAACTCATATTCCACTTGGGAACCCTGCAGCCCAATGGTATCAATGTGGATTTCACAAGCTTCAAAATCTCCCCTCCCCCTACCGCATCCCAAAACCAGCCCAGCTCGTCCCCGCCTCCCTAACCTGTTCTTCCTCCCATCTATCCCCTCCTCCCACCTCAAGCCGCACCCCCATCTCCTACCTACTAACCTCATCCCACCCCCTTGACCTGTCTGTCCTCCCTGGACTGACCTATCCCCTCCCTAACTCCCCACCTACACTCACCTTTACTGGCCCCATCCCCGCCTCTTCGACCTGTTTGTTTCCTCTCCACCTATCCATCTTCTATCCGCCTCCCACTCTCTCCCTATTTATTTCAGAACCCCCTTCCCCTCCCCCTTTTCTGATGAAGGGTCTAGGCCCGAAACGTCAGCCTTTCTGCTCCTGTGATGCTGCTTGGCCTGCTGTGTTCCTCCAGCCCTGCACCTTGTTGTCTCGGATTCTCCAGCATCTGCAGTTCCTACTATCTCTGAATCACCTTATACATATTAGCTTATACAATGACTGGATAACTGCAGATTCTCAGCAAGTGCAGAAAAACAATAATATTTGACTGGAAGAACAATGAGTACAGGAGGAAAAGATACAGATCGTGTATCTCCCATGCTACTGCTCCAAATTCTCCAACACAAGCTGCCATCCTCCCACCCTTTTTGCTCCGCCAATCATAGATTCTGTCTCTGGAGGAGCTACAACAGCCAAGAATAAGATTGAAGGCCAAGGAGCAGACGTGCTGCATTATGAGGCTGACCCATTCAATCTCCTCCTGCACCAAATGATAAGAATGGAGGAGAAGTAGAAAAATAAGAAAGTTCGAAACTGGCTCAAAACCTAGTAATGAAGCCAGAGACATGCGCACAGCAGCAACCAAAGCGAGAATGTCTTCAAGGGCAGCAATCATAGATTCTGTCTTTGGAAGAGCAACAAAAGTGGGACAGACAGGAAGTAGGAACTGCAGATGCTGGAGAATCTGAGATAACAAGGTGTAGAGCTGGATGAACAAAGCAGGCCAAGCAGCATCAGAGGAGCAGGAAGGCTGACGTTTCGGGCCTAGAACCTTCTTCAGAAAAAAAAGAGAACCTGTGATTGGAGCAGCTGGTGCAGAAAGCACAGGAGAAAGAGAGGTGTGACTGGAGGAGTAGCTGTGATCTCTCACTCATTCCTGATCCAACCAAAACTCCGTATTTAGATCCCGCTCCCACCATTTAGCAGAGGTACAATTTTCATTTAAGCCTCACACCAGCAGCTGAAGGGCGGAACATATACTTGAAATGACAGATTTCCAAGATGCCAGTATCAGAAACATGCAAACAGGGAAAATTTCTCATCCCTACTTACTTTTATGTAATATTAACCCATTTCTCCTAAATTAGTGGCCAAGGTAATATGGTGGTAGAATAAATTGAATTCAGAAATGTAAACTATTTCTTCAGATTGTTAGCTCATCTTTGGCTAAAAGAAGCTGGATTTTGGTGTCAGTTACCTGGTATCCAAGCACTCCTCAACATCTTCCTCCAATCCACTATCCTCCTCAGGGTGCTTCTTAGAATCACAGCCTTCACCTAGAATGAGGCAAAACAAGTTTTAAACAAAATAAATTTGTAGGAGCAACCAAGATATATAAACAGAATTAAAAATAACCTCACCTACAAAAAACAACCTGCTTTGGTGACTCTAGAGGTTGCAAGATAGAAACAAAGCTGAAAGTGGTATAGTTCACATTCCCAGGTGCTGATCCAGGCAAAGCACTGCAAAATTTAGTGCCAGGTGGGACTGTATGTCAATGATCCCTTTATCTCCACTAAATGCTTTGATTCATGCTACTATGCTGTTCAAAAGTTAATGACATATTTTGACATTTTGATACAACGTTATCCAACAACAGTAGTTAACCCAGTCCAGACTGGGTATAGAACACGGGACCTTTGACCTTCACAATATTCAGTGCCACCAGTAGTGTGTTGTTATTACCTTAACATTGGGAGCTCCACAACTTTTCCTTTGTAAAAGATTTGTCTTTGCTAAAGGGCACAAACTAATTAGTCAAAAATCAAGAAATTCTTCTCTCACGTCAGGTATATAACAGTTTCATTTAGCAGAAAAGGTTGCAACGTGCTGCACATAGGTGTGATCAGACAAAAATTAACACCACTGCACAGGAGGCAATTTTAAAAGGGATGACTAAACCTGTCAAAGAGGCAGATTTTAAGGAGAGTTGTAAAAAAGGAGAGCCAGAGGAGTTTAAGGGAAGGAATTTCAGCACATGGGCCTCAATGGCTAATGACACAGCACACAATGGTGGGACAAACAGATGCGTAAGAGGTTAAAAGGGAGAGTTTGGGGCGAATAATGCAAAGCTGGTGCCAGCGACAATGATAACATGGAGCAAGACTGGGAGTATGACGATGAGAATTTTGAATTTGAGACATCAAGGGAACAGAAAACAACACTGGTCAACGAGGACAGAGGTGATGAGACAGCAGGATAAGCAGTGAACAAAGAGAGGTCTGGGACAGGAATGTCCAACATACGACAAATTGGGTTGCAATGTTGAAATCACCATTTAAAAATGGATCAAGTATCTAGCATACAATCTATTCCACCTAACATTTACAATAAATCATCCTCCTAAAAATTTTTTGTATTAGTTCCACTTTCACCTCAGTAATTTAACTCAGCATTAAAATTATTCATTGTACACTGTGGACAATGTACCTGAAAAAAATAAAAGAAAATTACCTTTATCCCACTTAAAGCACTACATGAGAAGTGTACAGGCAGGTTACCAATAGTTTAGTCCTGTGTTAGACATTGTACCCCATAGTCCCTTATTATGCAACCACTTGTTACAGCAACTCCAATGTGCTTATATTCGAAAAATATCAGGACGTGGCAGGCTGACATAAAACAGTTTTCAAAAGTTTAATTTGGATGTGTAGTGCTGACAACAAAAACTTCGATCATTTTTTTTCTTGGAGCACTTCAGTACCAAAGCATCAGAATGCAAACAGTTGATCAGTTTCCATGTGAAAGAATCTCAAATCATTGATCAGTGGGAAAAAAAATTAATTACATAATGTGTCAGAAATCCAACTGAATGGCAAAAAAGTACGCTCTACCTTCTTTACTCGAGTCAGGTGTCTGGTCATTCCTAGAAGGCAAAGCGAATCATTCAGTATACTGCTCATCTTACAGCCGGTGTCCTGCAGCATATAGTGCAAACTTCAGACAGAAGTATTAATTACTTGAAAAGTTGAAAACTAAAATTAAAGTTGAAAACATCCCAAACCTTGTATGTCCTTCACAGGTGAAGTTGCTTTTCTACAAATATACTATACAACATTTTTGGGATGGGTAGTAAGCAGAATGAGGATATTTCTCAGTTGCTATTAATCCTGCATAAACTATTCTGCATTACAATTAAAGAACTTGCATTTGTATGGAATAGCTCAAAGCATTTTACAAACAATGGGTAACTTATGAAGTATGGTCAATACTGTGTAGTCAAACTGGGTGGACAAACTGGTGCAGAAAATATATAAGCAGATGAGTATTTAAACGGTGTTTAGTGGTGTTAGTACAGGAAGGATTTGAGAACTGTATGTTCTTTTTCACTAAAGCTAAGGTTATTTTACTTCCACCTGAATGGGAAGATGGGTCTTTATTTTCCTTAAAAATGTGAATTTACTGCCTATCCCTAAGACGTGTTTGATACAACCATGCAAATTGATGTGTCATTTTGGATGGTATTAATATTCCAGCAATTTTAATGCAACTGCCCAAAATACATTGAATTTAAGTATGTGTAAAACAGCACTCTGGTAACTTAGCCCTGCCTCTGCACTGTACTTAAACATCAGCCCATACATTTAGTTCTGTAGTCAGGCTTCAGCTTTTGCCGTGAAGTAAGAATTCTAACCATTGAGCCAGACTAACAATAACCACTTTAACTGAATGGACAGCATAAATGCACACATTTTGTTTTCATAATGGGATATCTTTATTATAAGTTCTACTGCAATTAATTTTCATGATGTTGTTTTATCTCATTAAAGCTAGAACCGGAGTCAAACAAACTGAATCACATTTCTGGGCAGATGGCGATAAAAATAATTTTTAACATGTAAATCTAGTAGACTTGTATATCAGACACAGAAATAGAGAAACAGCAAAATTTCAATGACTTTAAAAAGATATAAATTTGAACAGGTTAGACCCATTTTTAACTGATTAAAAACAGCAGCCCAGAAAAGTTCAAATTCTGTGTTTTCTCTACATTTTTTGAGCAATTTTACAAAACTAACAGAGTCAGGGCCAATCAGATTTTCTTAATGATCATATTATTAAAATTTTATATATATGACTTTGTAGCAGCTACAAAATTTGTGCCTGTATACAAAATGGGTACAAATCTAATAAAATCCACCATTGTTAACAGCAGTTAATAACTTCTAAATTTCTTCTCATTTGAAAACTTTGACATTGTTTCATCAAAGGAAATGCTGTCCCAAATTTAACACAATATGAACAATGTACTTGCTGCTGAGCAACATCTTGACTTCAAAATGCTTATCATAGAATTCCTAGTGTGGAAACAAGCCATTCGGCCCAACAAGCCCACAACACCGAACAGCATCTCACCCAGACCCACTCCCCCTACCTCTGCAATTTCCCATGTCTAACCCACCTAACCTAAACATCCCTGGACACTATGGGCAATCCACCTACCCTACACATCTCTGTACTGTGGGAGGAAACCAGAGCACCCAGAGGAAACGCATCAGACACGGGAAGAATGTGCAAACTCCACACAGTCACTAGAGGGTGGAAGTGAACCCGGCTGAGGCTGCAATGCTAACCACTGAGCCACTGTGCTGCTCTTGTTTTAAAATTCCTTTGTGGCTTCACCTCAGTCTATTTTTGTGACCTTCTGCCCCACTATTTTCCAAACTATCTACTCTCTTGAACTTCTGGCTTTTGAAACATACCTGATACTCCACCAATGGTGGCCAAGTGTTCAAGTGCCTCGACTATAAACTCTGGAATTCCTTCCCTGTACTTTTGCGCCTCCTTATTTCGGTTCCTTCCTTCAAGACACTTTTTTCAACCTACTGCATTGACCAAGCTTTTGGTTAACTGACCCAATATCTCCTTGTGTTGTTCAGTCTCTATTTTATTCCATCATGCCCTGTGAAGAGCCTTTGGGTGTTTTATTAATTAATAGTTCTAAACATATGTAGTTGTGCAGTTTTAACTAGAACCATAATGTTAAAGAGTGGTGGAGTGATTAGGTTTTAGAAGGAACAGGCTATTTGTAATAGATTAAGGTATTACCTTTATGCTTTTAGAATATATAATACACAAGGGAAGTTGGCAGAAAATAAAAATAAACCAGAACTTGTCAAAATGTACTCAAACAGCCTCAATAACACGTGATCCTGTTTTCTCATTTCTATTCCAGTCAGACTGAGGCTTACGTAACATGAACATGTGTAGCAAACTAAGCTCAGACTTGCAATCAAATCTGTAATCTGGACCTTGATTGCTTTATTAGATTTTCACAAAATACAAATCATTCCTAACAGTTGTTGAGCAATTAATTGCTGGCTTTTCAAATTTTTCACATGGGCCCTCTTGTGGCACAGTGGTGATGTCCCTAACCCTGGACCAGTTCAAGTTCCACCTTGAAGGTGAGCAATAACATCTTTGAACAGGATGATTACAATTTTCTTGACAGATTGTGTAAGCAATGGAACGACCTCAACTGTTTTTAAAAGGCAATGCTTACAACTCAGAATTAGAAAGAAACAGGGCAACTGCGCAATGTTTTGAATAATGTTAATTTTATAAACTGAGACAGATATGTACATTAAATAGGTAACCAATCTTCAAGACGATTACTATTTACTTTATTATCTTTGTACTTCAAAAGTGTCTTGTTTAACAATTGTCTACTTACTTATCTGAGACTGAAGTGATCGCTTCAAGAATATTATCTGGAAGCAACTTGCGTTTCTAGTATATATAATAACAAAATAGAAAAAGAGAGAGATTATCAAACAGATATTATGCCATCTACCAAGCAGAGCCAAATTCCAATTAAAAATTCGTAATTTTAACTTATCCAATGTGGATATATTCAGCCTACATTTGTTTTAACAAAAGCTACAATAGAAATTAGAGGACATCCCAATGCAAAACCCACAGTTTGAGCACTCCGTGTTGAACAGATTGTTTTAATTCATTCAAGACGTGTTGGTGTCACTGGCTATAATTAGCCATCTTAAATGTCCTTGAGAAGGGAGTGGTGATACACCTTTTTGAACCAGAGCAGTCCATGTTGTGTAGGTACACCCACAGTCCTGTTGAGGAGGGAATTTCAGCGTTTGACCCAGCAATGGTAAAAGGAACAGCAATATAGTTCCAAGTCAGGATGGTACATGTGGACACCAGATCGACAGCCCTTCCGGAACAGTAACCTATTCCAATATGCGTCAGAGACCAGGTAAACTGTAAGCCTCTGGAAAGTTAATGCAAAACTGTTTATGTATGGTACTTTATGACAAGTTGAGTAAAGATGGAAGGCCGTTAGCTTGCTTGGAGTTTAGAATAATGGAGGAATATTCAATTTTACCTTTGAAAACTCAGTGACTGAAAGCTTTTCAGATTGTTTTGAGGAGATATAGCTGGGCTAAGAAACCAGCACAGATTCTCTTAAAGAAGGAAGTTTTTTTTAAATAGCAGTTCGGGAAAATAGTTACCTCAGTAGAGAAGTTTAATTTGTGAAATGTTCAAACCAGGAGTGTTTGGTTAGGAATCTGTATGTGATTGAAAGCTGAGAAAGTTTAAACTCTCAGTTTTGAGAGAAGTGGAGCAGGAAGAAACTATAGTTCACACACAAGAAAATGGACTGAATCAGTTAAGTAGAACTTAAAGATTTAGTAGAGGGATAATTTATCTGAATTTGCATCTTGGTAATGGACAGGAAACAAGTCAAAACTTTGTTTTGCTGTGTGTTTTTAAGATTTTTCTGTGTTCTATATATTTAGATGACTTAGTTTTATTTCTTATGGAATAAACTCTCTCCTGTTGTTAAAGAAACACCCTCACGTGACTATGTTTTCATGACTGAATACCACATTAAATAGTGTTAAAAAAAAAGCAGACCAGATTTCATTCTGGGATATGACCCGTATAGCAGTACCATCAGCTGGGATCATAATATTGATCTCATTAGGATTTGAAATCCCTCTATGGTTTCATACCTCCCTATCTCTGCAACCTCCTCCAAACCCAGAACACTCCAAGATCTCTATTCACCACAACTTTGGCTTCTTGTGCATTCCCATTTTAAAAGTGCCACCGCCAGTGACCATGCCTTAAGCAACTATTGCCCAAGGCTCTGGAATTACCACTCTAAATAATGCCCCCAACACTTTTAAGACTGCTACCTAAATTCTAACTCAGCCAGTTGTTTTTCATCATCCATCCTATTGTCTTTTTGTATTGTTCAGGATCAAACTTGAAGTTTCTTGGAACTTTTTATACTATATTAAAGACACTATACAAATATAACTTGCTCTTGTCACTGTTTTGCCCAATGGTAAGAATCAACAATTAATATAATACTGTGCCGGGATTGAAAATGGAAAGGGTTTATTCTGGTTGCCCTGGGCTTAAACAACCCAAAAACTGTTCAGTGCAGTATGACAGTCTAGTGGAATTATTGAGTTTTAAAATAATGTAATTCAACCATAATTTTGGAAAATAGCAAAAAGTGAATAAACATTTTCTAACAAGATAAATATGCAAAAATATCTGCGTAACAGCCTCCAAAACTGAACAGCTCACTAAACTGAAGCAGTAGCAATGGATAAATGAAATGAAGAAGAGCTTCAAGTATGCTTTATATACAAAGTCAAAGTCAAAATTAAGTTAACGAAGTTTGGTATCTTGACTAACAACCGTGCCTTCTGTTCTTTGAATAACTGTTCCTTTCTTCTTCTTTTCTCCTTCAGCAATGCTTTGTCTCTGAAATATTTTAAAACATAATTACAAATAAAAATTGCACTTCCTTTTTTGTCACATTTAAACTTAGCTTGCTGTAATTGCATTGTCCCCCTCATCACTTCCTAGCCACCATTGCCGAAAATAAACATGCTCAAAAATTAAATATTTGGGACATTCTTACCAAATTACTTTCCAGAGAAACTGAACTAATTGCATATTAAAAATAGTATGTCCAATTCGAGAAAGTGGCTGATTCCATACTTTGTCAGGATGACAAGGCCTTGGAGAAATTACAGAGGAAATCTACCAGAATGATACCTGGGATTAGGGATTTCAATTAGGTGGAAACACCAGAAAATCTGGGACTGCTCTCTTTAGAGCAGAGGAGGATACAGGTATTCAAAATTGTGTAGGATTTTGATCAAAAATTCAGGGAGTACACATGTACCTTGGCAGGAATGTGGACTATTGAATTACACAGATTTTTCATGATTTGCAAAAATATCAATGGGGCAATGGGAAGTTTTGTTTTAATGACAAGCAATTACAGTTTAAGATGTATTGCCAAAATGGACAGCAAAAAGATTCAACAATAACATTCAAAAGGGAACATGCGAATACTTAAGAAGGAAGAAAATTTTAGGGGTATAGAAAAAGAGTAGTGCTAATTGGATAGTATTTTTCCATTATTGCTGACAATGGCTTAGAATAACCTTCTGTATTGTACACTACTAAGATAACTGCAAATTAAGATCCAAAAGTTGCTCAGAAGATTCGTCTTTGATTCTGAATGAACAATGCAAACTAAAACAGGCTATTTTTCAAAGGAAGAAAGAATTGTATGAGCTTGGGTAGTTTTATTTTATTCATTTATGGATCTGAACATCACTGGAAATTCCAAAATTTGATGCCCATGCCTAATTGTGCTCAAGCAGGTGGTGGTGAGCTGCCTTTATGAACCAGCTGCAGCGCGTCTGTGCAGGCACATAGAGTCATACAGCATGGATATAGACCTCGCTGACCAAGTTTCCCAAACAAAACTAGTCCCACATGCCTGCATTTGGCCCATAGCCCTCTAAACCTTTCTTATTTATGTACCTATCCAAACGTGTTTTAAATGTCGTAACTGTATTTGTGTCTACCACTTCCTTTGGCAGTTTATTCCACATACGATCCACCCTGTGTGAAAATGGTGCCGCTGAGGTCCCTTTTAAATCTTTCTCCTCTCACCTTATAAAATACACCCCCTAGTTTTGAAATCCTTTCTAAAGCAGGGCGACCAGGACTACACACAGTACTCCAAAAATGGCCTCACCTACATTCTGTACAACTACAACATGACGTCCTAACTTCTATACTCAATGGTCCAAGCAATGAAGGCAAGTGTACTAAATGCCTTCTTAACTAGCCACTCTACCTGCAATGCACCCTTCAAAGAACTATGTACCTGAAGCCCTAGGACTCTATTCGATAACACTACCCAGTGGCTTCACTGCTAACTGTGTATAAGTGCTACCCTTTTTCATTTTATCAAAATGCAATACCTCCCATTTATCCAAATTAAATCCATCTGCCACTCCTCAGCCCAATGGCCCAATTGATCAAGATCCCTTTGTAATCTTAGATAATCTTCTTGACTATACCACTAATTTGACGTCATCTGCAAACTTAACACAAATTCCTCTCAATTCCTCATCCAAATCATTTATATAAATGACAAACAACAATGGACCCAATACCGATCCCTGCGGAACACCCCTAGTCACAGGCCTCCAGTCTGAAAAACAACCCTCAACCACAACCCTCTGTCTTCTATCATCAAACTAATTTTGTATCCAATTGGCAAGGTCTCCCCGAATCCCATGCAATTTAACTTTACAAATCAGTCTACCATGCAAAACCGTGTCAATAACTTACAGTAAAGTCCACGTAGACGTCTACCACGCTGTCCTCATCAATCTTTTTAGTAACGTCCTTAAAAACCTCAATCAAGTTTGTGAGACATGATTTCCCTCGCACAGAACCATGATGACTATCCCTAATCAGTCTTTGCCTCTTCAAATCAATGTAAATCCCATCTTTCAGAATCCTCTCCAACAACTTTTCATAGAATCCTACGGTATGGAAGGTCATTTGGCCCATCGAATCACCAACTGAGCAGATGAATATTATTTGATTTCCGGATGGCAGGACTGACATGTGAGGAAAGACTGGATCGACCGGGCTTGTACTCGTTGGAATTTAGAAGAAAGAGGGGGGATCTCATGGAAACATATAAAATCCCGATGGGATTAGACAGGCCAGATGCGGGAAGAACGTTCCCGATACTGGGGATATCCAGAACTAGGAGGTAAGAATAAGGGGTAAGCCATTCAGGACTAAGATGAGGAAAAATTTTTTCATTCGGAGAATTGTGAACCTGTGGAGTTCTCTCCCACAGGAAGCCGTTGGGCCAGTTCATTAGATATATTCAAGAGGGAGCTGGACGTGGCCCTGTGGATAAAGGGATCAAAGGGTACGGAGAGAAAGTGGGAATTGGATACTGAGACTGCACGATCAGCCATGATCGTATTGAAAAGCGGTGCAGGCTTGAAGGGCCAAAGGGCCTACTCCTGCATCTATTTTCTATTTCTCTGAAGAACAACTAACTCTCCCATGTATAGAACCAAAGAATTTGGGAGAGATAATAAAAAACTATTTCTCGCCAATATTTATGATGAGAAAGACATGGAAACTAGGGAGCTACGGGAAACAAATATTGATGTCTTGAAAGCAGTCCACATTACCGAAGAGGATGTGCTGGAGGGCCTAATCAAATCCTAGGACATTTGTGGGAAACTAGGGAAGAAATCGTGGGGCCCTTAGCAGATACATTTCTATCATCTGTAGTCACAGCCACGGGTGAGGTGCCAGAAGACTACAGCGTGGCTAAGGTGTGCCTTTATTTAAGAAAGGCTCCAGGGAGAAAGCCTGGGAACTACAGACCAGTGAGTTTGACATCTGTGATGGGTCAGTTGTTGGAGCAGATTCTGAAAGAAAGGATTTACATGCATCTGGACAGGCATTGGCTGATTATGGATAGTCAGCATGGCTTTGTTTGTGGGAAATCGTCTCTCACAAACCTAATTAGAGTTTTTTGAGGATGTAACCAAGAAGATAGGTGAGGACAGAACTGTAAAGGTTGTCTACGTGGACTTTAGCAAGGCCTTTGACAAGGCACTGCATGGTTGACTGGTTAGTAAAGTTAGATCATGTGGGATTCAGGGAGAGCTTGCCAAGTGGATACAATATTGGCTTGATAGTAGGAGACAGAGGGTGGTGGTGGTGGAGGCTTGTTTTTCAGACTGGAGGCCTCTGTCCAGCGATGTTCCACGGGTTTTGGTACTGGGTCCATCTATTTGCTACTTCTATAAACAATTTGGAGGAGAAATTAGGGAGAATGGTTAATAAGTTTGCAGATGACACCAAAATTAGTGGTAGACAGTGAAGAAGGCTATCCAGGAGTACAAAAGGTTCGTGATCAACTGGGCCGAGAAGCTTAATACAGATAAATGCAAGGTGCTGCACTTTGCTAAGGCAAACCAGGGCAGAAATTATATAACTAATGGTAGGGCCCTGGGGAGTGTTATCGAACAGAGAGACCTATGGGATTCCTTGAAAGGCATAATTCCTTGAAAGTTGTGTCACTGATAGACAGAGGGGTAAAGAAGGCACTTGACACGTCTTCATTGATCAGACCACTCAGTATAGAGTTTGGGATGTCATGTTGCAGTTCTACAGCACGTTGATTAGCAGTACTGTGTACAGTTCTGGTCCCCTCACTATAGACAGGATATTATTAAATTGGAGAGGGTGTACAAAAGATTTACAAGGATGTTCCCGGGCCTGGAGTGTTTGAGTTATAAGGATAGGCTCGGACTTTTCTCAGCGGATCGTAGGAGGTTGAACGGTGACCTTACAGAGGTTTATAAAATCATGAGGGGCATAGGTAAGGTGAATAACAAAGGTTTTTCTCCCCCTAAGGTAAAGAAGTTCAAAACTAGATGACATAACTTTAAGGTGGGGGAAAGATTTAAAAGGGATTCAAGAGGTACCTTCTTTCCCCCACAGTGGCTGGTTCATATGCTGAATGAACCGCCAGAAGAAGTGATAGATGCAGGTACAGTTACAACATTGAAGACACATTTGGAATGGCCGGTGAATAGGAAAGATTTAGAGGGACATGGGCCAAACGCAGGCAAATGCGACTAGTTTAGTTTGGGAAACCATGTCAGCATGAACGAGTTGGACCGAAGGGTCTGTTTTCAAGCTGTATGACTCTATAAGCTGAATCACGGAAAATAGAGAAGTCAGGTTTTCGCAGCAAAACCTTACAGCATAACCGAATTTCCAGTTATGATAATTAAAGTGTTATATAAATACTGAACGACTTTTTTTTCTGTATCTTCAGTTATGATTTTATGAAAGAGGAAAAAATATGGTGCGTTCGTTGACTTAGTGAAATTCACCTCAGCCCACCTGACTTGCTGCTTAACAGATTAAAGAAAAACCGTAAGAACTGCGAATGCTGTAAATCAGGAGCAAAAACAGACGT